AAATAAAAATGTCGCTGATTCCAAGCTTTTTCGGAAACCGACGAAGCAATGTCTTCGACCCATTCTCTCTTGATTTATTTGACCCTTTCCATGATTTTCCCTTGAACAATAACACCTCTCGATCACTCACCTCCACCGGTGGCGACACCGATACCGCTGCATTTGTGAACACCCGAATTGACTGGAAAGAGACTCCGGAGGCCCATGTATTCAAGGCGTATTTATCCGGCTTGAAGAAGGAGGAGGTCAAGGTTCAGGTGGAAGATGGGAAGGTGGTCCAGATCAGCGGAGAGAGAAACAGGGAACAAGAGGAGAAGAATGACAAGTGGCACCGTGTCAAGATGGAGGAGATCAAGGCCAACATGGAGAATGGTGTTCTTACTGTTACTGTTCCTAAAGTTGAGGAGAAGAAGCCTCAAGTTAAGTCAATTCGCATCTCTGCTGCTTAAATGGGTTCAATCATGATTATTATAATATAAATCATATAAAATTAGTGTTTAATTATGTAATCTTCTTCCATAGTTTCATTTGTATGTTATTCCGTAATTATAATAAATGTGTTTAACTATCGTAGTCATTTGCATATTTGTACTATTTGTATTTGTGTAAGGGACACCAAGTAAATTAAGTAATCAATTTTAAAGAAAATTTATTGTTAAATCTTTTTGTATAGTTGTGTCAATTGTGTGTGCATAACCCAATGTGCCAAGCTTAATTGCTTAAAAGGCTTAGAATGTACATTGGTTTTTGGGCCGACCCATATTATTGTACTTTGGTTACCAAATCGATCCATGAGGCTGAAGGCATATCCATTACAGTTGCGGTTTTGATATGTCATACGACTATAGGAGTACGAGTATTGACAAGTAAACTCCTTATTATACTTTCTCTATTTTTTTAATTACAATGTTAGGATTGTTCAAAACAAAAAAAAAAAAATTACAATGTTAGGAGTTTTATGCTTATTTTATAACATCAATATCATTAATTATATTTTAATAAAAGCAAAACCTTGCAAAGTACAAACATGGTTATTCAATGTTAAAGCCAAATAATGTTAATTACTTAAATACCCCTACTTGCTCACTTTAAAATACATACACAACCCTTTGCCCTTGGTTAGAAACTTATATTTTTTCTCATAAAAAAAAGGTGTGTTTTGCAATGGAGATAAAATAAATTCCTTGCATGAAGGAAGGTGACGGTGAATTCAGCTATGCTCGCAACTCTATAGTCCAAGTATCATCTTTTTTTCATCTTTTTTTATTTTTTTTTTAATGCAAAGTAATGTAAAATAATTTCAAAGTTGTGGTCTTGTGTGAAATTTCAAGTAGTTTCATTGGTCCAAGGTTGCTCTTTCAAGTCTATGGTGTTGAAAAGAACTTAACCTTTTTTATTTTATTTTATTTTGAAAAGAACTTAACCTTGGGAAATAAAAACAAGCAAATTGTTTTGGATGCGCACAAATTATTTTTTAATTGTGTTATCTAATTCAATAAATATATGGATGAAAAAAAGATTTCAAAATAAATCTTACGTGTATATCTTTATTAATGTTCAATGCACAATATCACATTAGATGTAATTCTTGTAGTATATAGAAAAAATATGAATCAGGAATATCATGTTGACAGGTACACTATTTTGTAAATTATTTTAGAGGGCTGAGTAGTAATTATCGTCTATACATATATAGTTCCTAAAATAGTGCTCTCAACTTTTTATTTATTTATTTATTTATTTTTTTGACAAGAAACTTTTTATTCTTAGATTAACTTCAGTGTTTTGTCATGGGTGCTCCTGGCTCGTTCTTCAATCGGATCTTCCCTCGAGATGGCTTGCATTTGGTTCACTCCAATTATGCCGTCCATTGGATCTCTCAGGTTCGTTTCCATAACACGTTCGTTATTTTAAATTCTCATCACTACCCAAACGTCTTAAACTATGAGTCTATTCTTCAAAATTTGCCATATAGATAATATAGGTTATTATGCTTAGAGATCTATCAATCACCACTGTTTGTTTTTTTTTTGAGGAAATATCAATCACCACTGTTTTGTCAAACATTACAATGAAGTATTAGAAATTTGTAAATGCATTAAAAGTTATGCTGTATTAGCCAGCATTAACTAAAGAATAAAACAAGGCAAATTGAGTTAATTAAACGTTAAATGTAAGTATGGTTAGTCAACCAACTATTAAGTGACTTTGGAGGATTAACTAACATTGCACAAGAAATTGTGAATTCAACTTCAAAACATATTAGAGCATAAACTTGTATATTCAATTTCAACATTATATAAAATTGAGTCTTCTTAGCTATAGTTTTGTTTGGTTTGGTACTTTGATAAAGAACATGTTAAAAGGACAGCAAAATTTATGTACAGAGTATTCTTTTTTTCTTTTCAATATGCTACTAAGAGTGAGGACATTCCAAAGAGCAAATTTGAACTAAAAAATATAACTAGATGAACCTAAATGGTCACTTTGTAATAGTGGTAAATGATTCAACCTGTTTACACTATATTAAAATGATGATTTGTATTTATAAATTTGGTTGGGCCAAGTCATCTTTGGTGCATTGTGTTGATTCATGTGAAGGTACCATCAAGTATTTACGATGAAGTAGGGAGCTCGATGAACAAAGGCAATATCACCGTGTCTGAGGCTAGTCCCCCGAGTGTAGTGAAAGCTTTTCGTGCTCAATTTCAACAAGATCTTAGGTTGTTTCTCAAGTGTCGTTCCAATGAAGTTGTAACCAATGGGCACATGATACTAGCAGTTCTTGGAACCTCATCTATGGAACCTCGTCTACATTGGTCGACCAAAGTCCTCTCTCAAGCCATAACTAATCTAGTTTCCAAGGTAACATAACTCTATGTCAAAGTAATAACTGCAATTTGCACTGACAATATTTTATACTTTTGTCAAAATTAATGATCTCAATGCCTCCTATGTGTGATATATGTGCACATTTGTGTATTGCAATTATTATTCTTTTATCCACAAATGTAACCAAAAATCACTATCGTACGTTAAACTAGAAATTGACATTACATACTCGTGTTAATCTATTGCATTGTGTTTATACTAGGGACTAATCACGAAAGAGAAAGCACACTCGTTTGCAATGCCATTACATTTTCCCTCAAAAGAAGAAGTCCAGAAAATTGTTATTGAAGAAGGATCATTTACAATTGAAAAAATAGAGACAATTGTTGAGGACGCTGCAAGCGAAGTTAAGGATGTAGAAGTTAGGGCTGAAGCCATATCCAAAGCTATAAGGGCTGGCAATGAAGTCTTGGTTTCACATCACTTTGGAGATCAAGTATGGTTTGATTTGTACCCTGAGCTTAAACAAGCTATTTTGCTGCACTTGAAAAATGAACCAGTTGAAATGTTCAACATCATTTTCATGCTTAAAAAAATTGTTTGATTACAAATTGATTAGATTCTCAATATTTTTTTCTAATAATACTCCATTTTTGAGGTATCAATACTATCTATTTTGTAACATAGACCTACAAATTTCGAGATAACCTAATACCCCTTTGATTGGTGTGTCCAGTATTGGATAGTAAACTCAAGATGTAAAAGGTTTAACAAGGTAACAATTTTAAAATCAAACCAATTTTATTTCTTCATTATATTGATAGCTCCTTACAAACAACCGATGTACACATTTATTTGAAAAGACTGTAAGAAAACACACAATTAAAAGAAGATTATATAACTAAACACTCATCATCGCATCACAATAATCTTGATTAAGCCCCCATTTAAGCAGCAGAGATGTCAATAGACTTAACTTGAGGTTTCTTAACCTCCATTTTGGGAACAGTGACAGTAAGAACACCATTCTCCATGTTAGCCTTGATCTCCTCCATCTTCGCATCCTCCGGCAGCCTGAACCTCCTTAAGAACTTTCCAGAACTCCGCTCGACACGGTGCCACTTGTCATTCTTCTCCTCTTGCTCCTTGTTTCTCTCTCCACTGATCTGGAGCACTTTCCCGTCTTCCACCTCAACCTTCACCTCTTCCTTCTTAACACCAGGAAGATCGGCTTTGAACACGTGCGCCTCGGGTGTCTCCTTCCAGTCAATTCGAGCGTTGGCGAAAGCAGCGGTTTCGCGGTCGGTGGTGAGAGACTGGAAGGGTTCCCAGACATTGAGGGAAAAGGGATCGGCGATGCTGCTGCGTCGGTTTCCGAAGAAGCTTGGAATTAGCGACATTGTAATATCAATTGATTTGTGTAATTACTAGAAAATAATTTGAATATTTGATTTAGAGTATTGAGAATTTATGAGAATTCTTGAATGCTGCAAATTTCTGTGTTTTGTTGATGATAGAGAAGAGAAAGTGATATTTATAGATGATGGTATGAAGTGTCTGGAAATTACTTTGAATTAATCGGATCATTCTAACAGCTTCTAGTATGGAGGAAAAGTGGAAAACAGAGGTAAGGTTAAGAAGAACAGAGAAATTTGTAGGATATTCTTGTACTTTCCAGACTTTCAGTTATTTGCCGCGCTTAATCTTTGGGCCTTATTTATTTAATAGTGTGTCGGCCCATTGATGAGCAAGATGTGAAAATAATGTGAAATAACCCCAGTTCTCATGTAACGGGAACTTTTTGTAAAACGGTCTATCTAACATGATTAGTCAAGTGATAACCTTTGGTCAATTAATATTACTCCATAATGCTTAATATAAAGTTAGGGAGGTTTTATTCATGCAATTTTTATTAATCTGAACTAAAATGAACTTACCTAAACGTAAATATATTGATGTGAATTTACTAGAAATTATCTTAGTTATCAACTGATTAAACTTGAAACTCTTGTTCTTCTGACACTTATCAAAACTTGTTAGCTTTTATCCGCACTTACTTTTGTTATATATAATGATGTAAAACAGTTAAAGATAGTTTTATTCATGAATTTCTAAGCAATATGGAGTATAAAATTACTCATATTGAAACTTATTTAAATAAGATCAGATAAGGAGAATATATTTATAACACTTAACCAGACACACCATTAGCTGATAGTGTGACGTATTAACACATACAACGAGTGACATTGCTAATAATGCATCAATAAGCCAACAAGGTTGAACATAAGAACTATAGTCACTTAGTTTGTACCTCTCTCAATTATCAAGAATAGTAAGTATATCAGTGTAATAGACTAATAAGTTATTAGTCACTTAGTTTGTACCTCTCTCAATTATCAATAAGGTTTGCAAAGTTATTAGTCTATTACTAATAACTTTGCAATCCTTTCTTTCATCAATTCAATATCTAAACAAAACAAAGCTAAATTATTCAAAATCTAACAACATTTTAAACCATAATTTTCCACCAAAAAACAAGAAGAAAAAAATGTCTGACAATAATCTAACAGTGGAAGTCATTTTACAGCACATTAACTACAAAAACATCCCCAATAATCTAACAGTGGAAGTCATCAGTCGTGCTTTGATAAGAGTTGATGCTAACCAAAATAAGAAATTCACTGTAATCTAAGTGTTTACCAATTTTATAAACAGCAGGAATTAATCTGTAACACTTCTTAGAAGATGAAAATTTTGTAACTAAACAGCAAAAAATGCATGCAGGCTCAGAGCCCTTGATTTTGAGATAAGTCAGCCATCTTTGAAGTTTAAATTATGAGATAAGTCAGCCCCTGATCACATGGTACATCAGAAGACAATATCAGACCAAGATATATTTCAAAACCATGAGTCACTTAAATCAAGGCAATAAGATCAGAGTCTTTTATCAAGAGGAAAAAAAAGAGAGGATACCAGACTGCCAGCAGTAAATATAGTATATCTACCAAAGGTTCCAATAACAGCTTACAAGCAGAATTGCAATCATAATTACCAAAAGCAATAAAATTTATACCAAGAAAAACAGCAAGATTTTAATAATAAGAATAGAAAAATCAAAACAATTACCTAGTATAGGAAACTATCATCAACCTCATCATCATCATCATCTCCATCATCAATGGCCTCATCATCATCCGAGCTAGAATCACAATCCAAATTTGAAGGCACTACAAGAAAACAACTTGATTCCGACGGAAAAAATCCGTCGGATACATCGGAAATTCCGTCGGGAAATGGTCTTCCGACGCAATTCCGTCGGAATCAGTCTGTCGCAAAACCCTTTGTAGGAATTTCCACCCCAACCCACCCCACCGCCACCCCCTAACCCACCACCCCCACCCACCAAAACGTACCACTGTAACCCCAACCTACCCCACCACCGTAACCCCATTAGCCACCCCCTAACCCACCACGACCACCACTGAACCCTAACCCACCACTAGATTCCCCACCCAACCCAAACCCACCCAATCCAGATCTACCACCCAAATGAATCCCACCTAAACGAACCCAAATCTACAACCCTAACCCTAACGAATTCGGCCGAACCACCCATCCTAAGAAAACCACCCCACCACCCACCTAATACCGCCGCCGCCGCCGCCGAAACAAACCATCACAGCCCAAAACTTAACAAAAAAAAAATTTAAGAAAAAAAATTAAAATCCCAACCCAACTCCCAACATCGAACTCCAGCAACCACCACCCACCACAACCATATATATTAAAAAAAATCCGATTAAACAACAAAATAAATAAAATAAATAAAATAAATAAAAAGATACATACCTTAATTCGACCACACAAAACCTCGAAATTGGATTTACGAGGCCAAATTTGACCATGAAAACTCTACATCTAGAGTTTTCATGGTCGAATTTGACTTGAAAACCTTTGTTTTCAGCAAGAGAACATAGAGAAAGGGTGAAAATTGTTGTTGATGTTGATGTCGGAAATTGTTGTTGATGCTGATGTCGGTGATGGCAGAGAGGAGCAGAGAAGCAGTGGTGGTGTTGTTATTGATGTCGGTACGGAGATGGCAGAGAGGAGTAGAGAAGGAGATCGAGAAGAGAGAGAAAGAGGGAAAGAGGAGGGAGGAGAAGAGAAGAATACTGAGAAAGGGAAAAAAGAAGACCGAGAAAGGGAAAGAAGAAGGAGAAAAGGCGGAGAAGAGGAGAGAGAAAGAGAAAGAGAAAGAGAAAGCAGTAGTAGAAGGAGAGAGATACAGAAAATGAAATAAGGGGAATGGGGGCTGTCGGTTTGGGGTTAAGAGGGTAGGTTTTTTTTTTTTTATTAATTTCCGACGGAATTTTTTTCCGTCGGAAATTTAAATCTCCGACAGAATATTCTGAGGGGTTTTTTTCCGTCGGAAATTTAAATCTCCAACGGAATACTCTGTCGGAAGCTGTTAATTCGGAGGGAATTTAATTCCGTCGCAAGAATTCCGAGGGATTTTCTGTCGTAACATACCTTTTCCGACGGAATTTTCTGACAAACCATAATTCCGTCGGAAAATTCGAATTTTCCGACGGACCTAAAGTCCGTCGGAACGATTCCGACGGAAAACGGCCTATTTCTAGTAGTGAGGGATTTTATATTCATCACAGCGTCAATCTTGAACACAAATTAGGGCTTGAACCGTTGAGGGTTTCAATGAGCTACGATTAGGAGATATAGTTTTCCCCCCTACACTAAAAGCCGACTCAGAAGCCACCGTATTAACCGGAATTGTTAGAATATCTTGTGCCAATATTGCAAGCTCCGGAAATCTCACTACATTTTGTTGCCAATACTCTAGAATATCTAGCTCCATGTTCAAATCAAGCTCCGATTACTCCAAATATGACTCAAGTTGGGACTTTTTTGTTTTAGTCCTTGTAATTCTTGAACTATAGCTTTGATAATCATCAAAGAAGTTTTCAACTTCAATCCTACTACTTGTATTAGAGAGAGCAAAAATTGGGGAAGTTGAAAATGTTGACTTATACTCATTATACAAAGATCTTAAAGTATTCAACACTTTATCAACTTCATACATAGCCTAATTCGAACCATATATCTTGTCAAAACAATATTCCACAAACTTTAACTTAAACCTTGGATCAAGAATTGCCGCACAAGCTAGATATATGTTATACTCGGACCAATATTTGTCAAATTTTTCAAGCATAGGTAACACCATTTGAGCTTAAAATTCATGTGGACCTTTAGATGTCTCAAGTAAACAAAGATGCACCATACATGCTGTAACAACCCCAAATCCCCCTCTACGGAAATACTAGTATAATACGTATAATTATGCCGTAGAGATAGACTTAGGCGTATTACCGTCGTGTGATTACGCAAGGCTACTCAAAATACTTAACTCAATAACAAAACTTGTAGCGGAAACTCAACTTTCTTTTATTAATACTTATAAAAATAGTAACATTGTTATGAGTACCCAAAATAAAGACAAGACCAACATTCCTAAACTAGGTGAAGCAAATCCAAGGACTCTCATATGCTCATTCATGACTCCACCTGAAAATAGTCAACACTGCTTACCATTACGGTAAACAGGGCGAACCAAAACAAATACGAAATACGGATTAGCAAAATATGCTAAGTGCGATAAGTGCAAGATAAGTAAATTCAATTTATTTGCAAACATGTTTTTAAAACCAATTCCAATAATTAATCCAATGAATTCCAAAACTCATGTTTCAAACCAATTCTCAATAATTCAATAATTCGATGAAACGGTTTATAAAACCAATTCCATTAATTCAATATTTCAATAATCAGTTTAATAAAACCAATTCCTCTTTTTAAAACCAATTCCTCACTCAAGTGTACACACCCCCCAAGCTAGTCTCCTTATATTGCAAGGTTATTCTTGAGGAAAGACTCGGTCATACAAAGTCCAAAGTCTTATCTACCAAATCCGCATAGTGGGATTACTATCAACATGCTTGTAAAACTTTAATAATAATAATTCAATAATTCGTCCTTAAATAAAATCAACCTTTATAATAGGTTAAATCAAAACTCCTTTTTATTTAATTCAACATGCCTTCAAAATCAACCTTTTAATAAATACTTGAGAATTAAATCTCATATAAATAAATTTTCAAAATAAATAACTCTTCCTTTGGAAAACCTTTTATTTAATTCAACAAGCTTTTCAAATCAATTCCTTTATTTAAACATGATAAGTAATTCAAACCATTCAAAACATGATTTTAAAATCAATCCTTCAAAAATACATTTATTAAAACAAATATAAAAATCAATTCCTCCAACCATACTTTGTTTCATAAATCATAATTCCAATCAATTTAATTCAATCACCAATAATATCATATAAAACATGTTATTCAAACCAATCACTTCCAAAGGTATCTAGCCACCAAAACGTACCTTTGATCCTTGCAAGCATTTACACAAATATACTTCAAGAATCTTGATTGAACACACCCTACAAATAAATATAACCTTAATTAATATAAGGTTAACAAATAATCACAACAATTAAATCAAAAACCCCCAACTATATGTACATGAACCTTTTAAATTATTTTTCATAAACATGAATAAAAATCTGTAGTTATTTAATTAAAACTACTCATAATAATTTTTATAAATCCCCCATAATAATAATAATTAATTAAATAAAAGAAGAGAAGAAGAAAAGGTAGAAAACCAAGGAAAAGAGAGAGAGGTGGCGGCAAGGGTAGCCTTCCAGCAGGTGGCTGGAGGTGGCGGTCGTGGTGATTGGTGGTGGTGCAAGAAAGAAAAGTAAGGAAAAAAGAGAAGAATTGGATTTGCGTTGGAAAGAATAGGCAGAACTTGCAGAACCTATAACTCCTAATTAGGTGATTCTTGAGCCTGACCACAATGATTTTTCGAGAGGAACACTTTTTTGTGAAATAGAAAAACCCCAAAACTGACCATAATTTCCCGAAAATTGGCTCCAAAGATATACGAGCTGATTTTCTCTTAGAAAAGAGGAGAAGAAGAGAATTGGTGTGAGTGTTTGGTCATGAATCAATAGGTATTTATAAGCTAGCTCATGCATGAATTATGGTAGGAAAATGTGTGAAGAATTATGGTAAAAAGAATTAAGGAATTACTTGGAGAAGAGAATGAAAGAAATATGAAAAGTTTTGATATTAAGGTGATTAAGAATAATAGAATTAAGGAAAGTGTGTTGTCGTGAAAAATAATATGACAAAAGAGATTACTTGGGGAATAATCAAGGAAGATATAAGGTAGGAAAATAAGATGATCAAATATTTAGGAGAGGGAGAAATAAAATTAAGGAAAATAAGAGATTTTAAGGAGATAATTAAAAATACAATTTTCCAAAATAAATCACCCAAAACTTGACCATGAGGGCCGAAAATATTGAGCTTCCATAGCTCAAATTTTCGAATCCTATTAGTATATTTTAGGGAATTATTTTGCTAGATTTAAGGAATTAAAAATAATTGTGTAAATAATATTTATTGTATAAAATAATTAATTAATAAAATATCAATTATTCACTAAATAAATTAACCTAGAAAATCAGATTTTCCACACTAGGAAAATCCGAAATTCTTAGTCAATAATTAGGAATTTTCGGACCTTATTAATTAAATAATAAAATGCAGTTTTTGCTTTAATTAAAATATCCGAAATATATAAATAATCAGGTTTTTAAAATAAATTAAATGGATTAGAAATCTTATCCAAAATCTAAAAATAATAATTAGGTTTCAAAATAACTTTGGCGCCAAAATTCAAATATCATTTTGGCTCCAAAATTCAAATAGTAATTTAAATTACTAAAATACCCCTTTTAGGAAATAATAATTAATTAATTTAGAAAATACTTATCAAAATACGGGGTATTACACATGCTCCCTTAAAATACATGTTAGAAGTTAGAGACTTATTGGCCGAGAACATACATGTAACATCATAAAAAAGTTTCAAAAACTTGTGAACAACACTCAATTTATCCTATTCATTTTCCAAAGGTACATTACTCTTGAAAGATGCATGTAATGACCCCAAGTGATAAACACATCTTTATAGTAAAGCACATTATCAAGCATCATATATGTAGAGTTCCAACGAACTTGCATGTCCATACGAAGTTTCCTCTTAGCCTTTAAAATGCTTTTGAGCAGTGTCATAAAAATCCTTGCTTCTAGAAGATGATCTTGTAACAAATTTTACCAAGTTCCTAATCCTATCTAATATGTTCTCAATACAAGATAGACCGGATTGGACAATAAGATTGATGATATGAGCACAACATCTAATATGAAAAAAACAACCACCACTAACCAACATTCCCCTTGATCCAAGACGATTTTTCATGTGCTTAACCATCACATTATTGTAACTTGCATTGTCAACCGTTAAGCTAAGCACTTTGTCATCTAAATGTCATTGATTAAAAAACATAAAAATCTCTTCGGAGATGCTTTGTCCACCAAAAGGGGGTGACAATAATGTGAACTTGATGATCATTTTATGAAGTTTCCAATCATGATCAATAAAATGGGCGGTTATGCAAATGTAATGTTGCCAAGTGTGTGATGATTTCCAATTATCAGTTGTCAAACATATTCGTCCGGGTGCAATAAAACCATAAATCAAAACTAAAATTGTATAAAATGCAATTATAAATCGAAAATAAACAGTAAAACCATAAATCAAAACTAAAATTGTATAAAATGTAAAATAAAGCGGGAAAAACATACCTTGGTAGTTGAAGTGATATGACGGAATCCGCGATTGAGAGCAGCGAGCAAGAAGAAGGGTGATAAATTGAAGATTGAGAGCAATAGCAAAAAGATTGACGTGAGTAGATTTTTTTAGGGTTTAGAATCTGGGAATTTTTTTTTTTTTGGGTTCATAATTTGGGGGAAATTGGGAATTTTTATTTTCAAGGTATCATAATTTGACGTTAGGAAGTTTTAGAAACAGAAAAATTATGATAAAAAAAGCCTAATAAGAGTTACCCAATTTCAGCCCTTTTTAACTTAGATCCAACCTTTTAAAAGCCCATTATTTAATAACCCCTTAAAAGCCCGCCCCATTAAAATATTGGATGGATAAAACCCTTTTATAAAAGGAATGGGTTAGGGCTTTAAATGGGCCTCTAGCCCATTAAACAGGTCTACTAATAACCTTATTATGTAATAGTATAATATAATACACAATCACACATTACATAGTCTTGGCATTAAAAAGATTGGAACAAACTTCATTTGACAAACTTGATAGAATATATGATAAGATATTCTGTTATTGCAGTGCAATTTATCTTTCTCATAATCCCGTATAACACCAACGCACCAAACATGTTGAGATGGACATCCATTTTGTTCGAGAGAAAGTGGTGTTGGGTCAGGTACAGATTCTACATGTTCCTTCACGGTAATAGTTTGCAGACATATTCACAAAAGGACTACCTCGACAAATATTTTTGGATTTCAGATCCAGTCTCAGCGTTGGCCCTCTTCCCACTATGACTGTGGGAGTGTGATAGAATATATGATAAGATATTCTGTTATTATAGAATATATGTGATATATTTTGTATAATTATCTTATGAGGGATCCTAACCTTATAAGGGATCATATTATAACCCTATATATATATTAATTAATGAAAATCACTCCAATCTGAGGAGTTTTTACAAAATCTAACAAAACTTTTACCTCAAGAGGTCGGTGGACAATAGCTTAGCATCGTTTCCATCGTTGGTTCCCATATTTATTTTAAAAACAAAATTCAAAATAATGTGGCAAGAGATTGCTAAAGACAGCAGAATCAAAATGAAACCTGTTGTTCATGCAAAACTTACACAAAACACGTGTATAAACACGTGGCAAACTCTTTCCTTCCATATAACACAACCTTTCTTCCTTTCCATCATACTTACTTCCTCTATTTCTCACTCTCAAACCTGAAATAAACTTCGTCTAAATTATTAACCAACAGATTTAATTACTAATTATGGCAACAATGGATCGCGATCGCGATACCAGAGACCCAAGGCAAATCCATGTCCACACCCAACACGCATCCCTTCACGCCGGCAATGTAAGAGGTGCTGGCGGCGGTTACGGTAGTAGCACCGGAGGCGGTCCAACCGCGTCGCAAGTGATTGCTTTGGTAACCCTTGTCCCTGTCACTGGCACCCTCCTCTTCTTGGCGGGCCTCACTTTACTCGGGACCGTCATCGGGTTATGCCTAGCAACCCCGGTATTCCTCCTCTTCAGCCCTGTCCTAGTCCCTGCTGCTCTTCTTATGGGGCTTGCTGTCACCGGGTTCCTCTCCTCTGGCGCGTTTGGTCTCACGGGCCTGTCTTCGCTGTCTCGTGTCGTGGGGTATATTCGACAGGCGGGGCGTAGAATGCCTGATGATTTGGATTATGCTAAGCGTCGTGTGGCGGATATGGCGGCGTTTGCGGGACAGAAGACGAAGGATGTGGGACAGACTATTGAGAGTAAGGCTCGTGAAAGTGGGACTCATACCACTAGTGGTGGTACTACTGCTACTACTAGGACTTGAAAATGAGGAGCATGCATGCAACGAGTTTTTATGTTGATGATGAGTTAGTTTCCTTGGTTGGGTTTTGCAGGGTGTAAATTAAATTTTCAGTTTGTAACGTTGTTGTTCATGTTATAACTTTTTATGGGTTATTGAATAATTTTATGATTCCAATGTAATGTTTATGCTCGAGTATGATCAAGTACCTGCCTTTTTGTTCATTTTATTTAATCCGTTCTGTTTTAGTATTGTTGCACTTGTTTTGGGACATTTTGTCGTGCAATAATTGCTTTATTTTCCAAATTTAATACGTACATTACAAACTTGCAATTAATTACGTAGCAAATAAAAGTTGGAAATACTACATTGCTATTTTAAACTTTGGATGATTTTTGAATAAACTGTGGCCAATCACAACCGCTCATTATTCGTTGATGAATTTGACTTTTGATTTTATTTTTGAAAAACGTTAATAAATAAATAAATAAAATTCTATCCCATTATCATTCAATTTTTATTTATTTACTCAATGTTGTTTGCTTTCATTCTTCGTAAGTTCATTCTTCATTGTGTGTTGCTTCAATCCACTCCTCATCACAATTAATAATGTGTTTAGATTGGAAGAAGCATGAGGGAACCACATATGATGATGGACAAATTAGCATGGAGCGTGAGCCAATAACTAAAATGTGTTTTGATTCTTGGACATTCTGCTGCTTTGCCTTGTCTGTCTTCTGTTATTTTTTCCATCAAAGCAGAATATTGTTGTCCTTTCACTCGGACTTACTTTTTCTCAATGTCGTTTGGTTTCATCCAATTCCTCTTAATTGTGTGTTGCTTTCATTTTATTTTTGAGAAATCTATGCATATACAATTTAATTAAAGTGGATGAGGATTGAATTGAAGCAACAGAATTAAGAACGACATTAAGCAAGGAAAAAGAAAAAAAAAAAAAAAAAACTGGGAGTTTTTTTTTTTTTTTACTTTTTTGTCAACGTTTTTAAAAATTAATCGAAAGTCAATTTAATCAACGGTTTACATGGACAAAAGAAATAAATGGTTGTGATTTGATCTAATACAATGGCCACAATGATAGTTTTTACAATGGCCACAATTGGCACTTTAAAAACTATCATTGTGGCCATTTAAAAGCTGTCTTGTAAACTTAAGTAGTGCTAAACATATTAAAGGAAAACCTCTCAAGGAGGGTTTGATGAGAATTGAACATTTGAACTCCCTTCATGTCTCTAATTTTAAGGGAGGTTTCAACCTACGCAATCATTTCTCATTTTATATCCACCTAATAACTATTTGTTCCTTCTGCTCTGCATAAAATATAGGGTTTTAACCATTAATATTAAGTAGAAATTTTGGTTTAATGCTGAAACCAAGTGAGTGTTAAGTATATCAAACGAGCATCATTGACACTAATATGGTTTCAACTCGGACAGGGCCATCTCAAAATATTTGGGCTTGATCCAGTGCTAATATTGATAATTGGCTATCAACATTGGTAGACCTCTCAGACTATCAACATTGTGAAAACCTTGTTAGAGGAAAGAGTTGAATATTAAGTATTGATTTTATACGGTCATAACAGTAAAAAGCATTATTAGAAAGTTTGGGCCTCTATTTTTAGAGGCCTTGTATAGTTGTATTGAGGGTCTTTATTTGCACGGTGGCATGGATACCTTCCACAAAACATTAAGGTTTTGGGAGAGTAAAAACGTAAAATGCATCACTTATCTACGTGGTACACCAATGAGATGTTGGTCTAGTGATAAAAGTTGAGAGCTTACCTACAATAGGTTAAATGTTCAAATCTCTCCGTCTATCATTTATAGTTTGTGGATAATCGAATGTTTACCAACTTAAAAACCCTTGGCCCCAAGCTAGATGCCTCTTCCAAGTACCTTATTAAGCTTGTACAATAATTGTTGTCAAATCTGTAGCAAATAAGAACTTGAGAGTGATTAAGGCGCCTTATCACTTTTGAACTAGAGGGGTAGCTCATTACAGTATATGCTTCACATCAATTTAGTGAAGACAACCTCTGAACCTCACTAGAAACTTCCAAAGTTTTAATACCGTTAAAATTTGAGGCATATCATTATAAAGTTTGGATAAAATTCTGTTGTCTTTGTATGAGTTGCGTACTACGGTAGCATTTTACCCTCATTTATTTAATGGTTGTATAAATCATCCAAGTTATACGTGAAAGCTCATCTTTCCTATCATAATTAAAGATTTAATAAGACTTCACCTATTGAATTGTTAAAAGGTCCATCATTCCTAACATAATTAAGGGTACGACATGACTTCACCAATAGAATTGTTAAACCCCGTCTTCTTCACCTTTTGTAAAATACCCCGATGCTGACCCTACCGGCAACCTTTTACTCTGTACCTACTAACATGGCCTTTAGCAATAGTCGTGCACTCGTGCCTTATTTGTTTGAAAGCGAATGATCGAAGAAGAGCATTTAAAGTAGAACGCAATAATGCAGTATAATTTCCTTCAGAAGATGGACATCGAAATTATTGAAAGATCCAAAATGCAAGAAAAAGGGCTAGTACATAATAATATTACCCAAATTGGGAACATAATAGTACATAATTTTGATAGTAAGAATTTACATTTTCACAACCCAGTCCAATGCAAGCCACAACCCTCTTAGGATTCTTCGATGAAATTTTTTTTTTTTAAAAAAAAAAGAGTACACTTTAATAACTTACATAATACAACAGAGATGGACAAACAAAGAAATAAGATTAATAATGAAAAAGAAGATTAAAAAAAAAGGAAGAAAAGCATGGGATTCTAGATTCTTCTTATCATCATCAAGAGCCTTGGAAAACAAATACGGTCGGGCCAATGAGATGATCCATCCAAACAACAATATCACCCATGATGATCATGATCAACTCAAATCCATTACTTGGATTTGAAGGGAATTGCCCTAATCACAACTGTGTGGTAAAGTGCTGCCAATGCTGCTCCAATGAATGGTCCCACCCAGAAGATCCACTATACAAAAGACGTTAACACAATTATTAGGGAAAAATATAATCATGTGAAATTGTAAACTAGAAAACATGTATATAAAAGTGTTGCAAGTATAAAGAAACGGATAATCCGTATGATGTATGAAGCTAATGACCAAGGAATCGATTAAATTAATCAAAGGGTCTTTGTCTTAATCTTTAATTAGCATAGTAGTAGGTAAACATTAACTTCAAAGACAGCATCACCTCCACCAAATCTTTTATATTCCATTCAGTATATGTTTGACAACTAACCCACATGGGTATCATAGTATAGTAGGACAATGATATGAACAAAAAGAAGATTAGGTTAATATTTGCCAAATGCCAAACTGTTATTGGACCCCATCTTTATCTTTATATAATAAGCTTTCATGAGTATTACTACCTTATCTCTTTGTTATACAAAATTTGATAGATTCCTTATCCCTATTCATTCTATTGTGGTTCAATTTATGACTTTTTTGTGTTGCCCATTATTAAAATGGGCCTTATTATATGGCCTTCTCAAAACAATCAATTTCCCACCACTCCTTTTTATAAAGGTATCTAGACTTCAAGAAAAGTTGATTAGTGTAAATAGGTTTCCAACGTATATATTAAGTAAACTTTTGAAAAAATAATTACCGTTTAAGGTAAGTTAGGTGACTCACACTTTGTACAGTTACTTATCTATACGACTTGTACATACTTGTCTGTGGTATGCACCAAGGCAAAAAGTTGTGCAAGGGTTGAAACATTGTGAAAAAACTTTACAGTCTAAAATAACTAAACATCTTACACATACGTGAAAATGTGGCGTGCATGATGGAATTATTGTGAGACGAGTGTGATTATGTAGTATGTACCATATTAGAGTGGACTTGTAACATTTTCCAGGAATTATACTCAGCAAATTTGTACATGACATCTTAGAATATAGGTTAGTTTGAGACAATTTCACCCTAAGACTTGGTCGTACATGAATGATATAAATTTGATCAAATGGAAAGTTTTAAGCAAACTTACGTGGTCGTTCCAGTTGTTAAGGTGCTTGTTGTAGATAATGGCAGTTCCAAGACTCCTAGCAGGGTTGATACCAGTGCCGGTAATGGGGATGGTGGCCAAGTGAACCAAGAACACAGCGAACCCGATTGGGAGGGGAGCCAAGATCTGTAAAACATTGTTTCATACCATTAACTCAAGCTCATATAACAGAAATTATAACATAAAGTTAATTAACTTCATAAAATTGCGTAGTGACTAGTAGCTAATAAAACTGCATATAGTACTTACAGGAACATGAGAGTCCCTGGCGCTTCTCTTGGCGTCAGTGGCGGAGAAGACGGTGTAGACAAGGACGAAGGTGCCGACAATCTCAGCACCAAGACCATCACCCTTGGTGTAACCATGGTGAACATAGTTGGAACCACCGCCTCCGGCTTGGTAAGGAGTGGGTTGGAATCCCTTGACAACACCAGCACCGCAAATGGCACCCAAACATTGCATGATCATGTAAAAGACTGCTCTTGTCAAAGACAATTTCCTTGCCAAGAACAATCCCAATGTCACAGCTGGGTTAATGTGACCTCCTGTAATACACCATCATCCAAGTTTTCACTAGTTAGGTACTGTACTTGATAGATCCATACACATTTTCATAAACAACAGTCTTTGTTTGATTTATTTAATTCCACATTAATTTTATTAGTGATTATGCATCAAATAGTTGAACACTTTCTAAAATTTGCAATCAAAGATGGAACTTTAACTAGATCCTACTGATAATAAGCTGAATTCTTTAGATTATTCTGTTTCCAAAGATACTATACTGTGGATGTCAACTAGCCAAATCCGTGTAAATACTGGAATCAAATCCCGACTAGATTCACTACCATATGTGACTTGACCCAAAAAATAACTGTAACACTAAGATAGTCCGTACATGCCTTTCATTTTAATTCTAGACTAGAAGACATATATAGTACAGTTTAGCATGCTCAAAACCAAATAAACAACACCCCAACACCCAAAAAACATTGTATTAACCCAAAATAACCTACTAAACTAAAATCTAAAACAATTCCAAAACATCCCATATCATATTTCACAAAAACCCCACAACATTTTGTTCAAATTCCACCATAATTAATTAGTTATACATCTAATCAAGAAAAAAAAGTAGTAATTAAAGTTGAAAAAACAAAAGGGATGTAAAAAATTACCAGAAATTCCAGCAGTACAGTAAACAAGGGCAAAGATCATTCCACCAAAAGCCCAAGCAATACCCTGAATACCAACAGTCTGACACTTATTGTCAGCACGACTGTAACCCATAACAGTCAAAATACTGATGTAAAGAAACAAGAAAGTTGCAATAAACTCGGCAATTCCAGCCCTGTAAAACGACCATGATGTCAACTCTCCGGGCTCAAACAGCGGCGCTGGTGGTGGCTCTTTGTAGTCTCTGTCTTGCGCCACCGTACCCAACCCCTGCTTCTCGCCGTACTTGTTTGCTCCTAGTCTAACATCTTCTTCTTTGCCCTCCATTTTTTTGTGTTTTCTTAAACAAAAAAGTTGGTGAGTTTTCTTTTCTTCAGTAGTGTTGTTTGTTTGGGTTGTGAATGAATGAGTGAGTGAAGAATGGGATAAGGATGGGTGGGTTTTATAAAGGGGGAAACTTTAGGTTATACAATTGTTGGGGTGTGATTAAATTTTGTTATCTTTGGACCGTCCATTAATAATGGTGCTTAATTATAATAAATAATATTATAATTGTTAATTAGTATGTTTATGTATGATGATGATTATGATGAGAAAATAGTTTTTGTTTAGTATAAGTTGGCTTATGTGTTGTGGGGGGGTGAAATTGACAATGAAAGGTTGTGCCTTAACCTATCTTAGCTGGGCAATTGAGGACCATACAAAAAATAAACGTTGGGGGTATTAAAAATAAGATTATAATTTAAATTATAAAGTTGAGTTTTTGTTATCAAGTGAGAAATTTGAGAATGTGTGGTCATTTGAAGAGGTGGCCACCGCCCATCTTAGATCATAAGGTGGGAATTTTATTTATTTAATTTTTTTTTTTTTTTTTGAAAGAGAATTACTTCTTTTGCATTTTTAAGTGTTACGTTTGACTGGCACAAAATTTTAGAAATTGAGTTGAATGATGCATGTCGGGTTAATAGTGCAAAAAAAATGTACGGAGTATAAGCTCAAGTTTGAGTGTTAAAAAGTATTGTACGGAGTATAATCTTAAGTTCGCGTGTTAAAAAATACTATACAGAGTATAAGCTCAAGTTCGCGTGCTAAAAATGTTTATACTTTGTATAAGCGTAAACAAAATATATGATATGAAATTGAACCCATTGAATAAGATAGAGTACCAAGTAATAAGGCTTTGAATAATTGGTGAGTTCACCTTGTAAGCTTCATATCACTATGATACTTAGTGGTGAGGATCGTTGACCCTTTCCGCTCACTTTTAAGTGTCTTGCCTGCAAATTTGCATTCTCCATAACTCAGTAATTCAATATGACTTGCAATAATCAATTGGAAATCTCCTTTACGTACACTATATTTAACTTGGTATTGTAGTAATCATTCATAATTTCAGCAAATCAAAATAAGAAATTCAGTCTACAACATTAATTTCAGATATCATCACTTCATTTTCATAGTACAGTAGAATCTTTGGATTCAAAGCACACAACCTTTATTTGACAGGAAAAGGCACATTTCTTCACTACTTCAATCATAATTCTACTGCGTATGGCCCATAAAGGCGATATGGCCGGTAGATGCATGTCGATTAATGTAGTTATGTGGACTATTGGTCACATATTCATCGTTTTCCAAAATTATACGCTATTTTGCAATTAAGATTAAAGAATAAAATCTAAGCTTGATCTCTTTTATTTCCTTTAATTAATGATACCTTCAAATTATAATTACTCTATGATTCATAGAAAAACAAGTATATTTGTCCAAAAAAAAAAAAAAAAAAAAAGTATATTGGTAACGTAATAAGGGTTGAGTATAATTGATGATTTGCTGCTCATTTATATTCATAATTTATATTATCAGACAAAACCAGCTAATTTTAACTAGCTTCCACTGTTTAATTAGCTGCTAATCTCTCTTGTTAATTTTACTCAAGCTAATAATTCAACATATAATCAAGTTTATGTTACAGTATCCTTTTGGCTTATTTGTATGGGATTTTGATTTTGCTGAATATATTCATTCATCATTATCAACTTTTAAACTATGAGAATGTTTATTTAATCAATAAGTAAATATATATTTGATTATACGTATAATCAAATGTTAGTACGAGACTACGAGTATACGTAATTTTATTTTCAAGGCATGCATATCCTTATTTTTCTTTGGGATAACCGAATAACATGTTGGAGGAGACTAAAGTGATATAAGTAACATCGAGAATTGCATTAATAATTAGTTATAATTAAACACACAATATACAGTGTTTATTGAATAAATAATAGAAATTTAATAATTTATTACAATGGTGCGATAGCGAAATTTATGATTATATATCTTTGTTCCTAGTATATTTGTCACTCGAGCAAAATAATGTGAAGAAAGCTTTGTATTCTACCAGCAATTTGTGCAGATAAATGGACAAAAATTAAATGTGGTGCCAAATAAAATTCTTTGAAGAATCTTTTTCATTATTTTCATATAAATAAAAAATTATGTCTCTTTCATACATGCATAAAACGGTCCATGAATTGGGCCAATTGGCTCATTACTAACTTTGAGAGATTGTAATTTAAGGATGTGAATTGTTATATTTCCAATTTTGTATGTATAGCAACTTTCCTTTTTGTTGTATTACATGAGTATAATAATTGTGTAAAAAGCCAATTAATTAGATTATCCCTAATTCGTTGCCCCTGGAAAATGTGAAATGAAGCTTTATTAAAAATAAAATACTCCATATAATATATAAAGTACTTCTATAATTATTTTGTTATAAGAAAACAATTGAGCTCGTCATAAAAAAAAAAAAAAAAAAATGAGAAGATAAGGTTTATTAAATACAATTTTTGTTTTCGGTGATACAAATTCTTAAATAGTCCTGGTTCATATTAATTTTATTATTAGGGACACTATGGTCTATATATTAATTATAAAAAAAATTAAAAAAAAAAAAAGTCGCTATGTTAAAATGAAGGTTATTATGTTAAAATTAAAGTCATTGTGTTATTATAAAGATCATAAGAGGTTTTTTTTTTTTTAATGAATGTGTTTTATACTGGTCAATTTGAATAATAAAGGTCACTATGTTAAAATTAATGTTACTATGTTTAACATAGCATCGCTTGACATATATGTACTTCAGCTTCACAATAATATTAAGGTCACATGAGTTTAAATAAAGGTCACTATGTTAAAATTAGAGTCAGTATGACTTCTTTTTTTTTTTTTTTTTTTTTTTAGGGAAAGAGTCACTATGTTTAATGCAACATTATTTGCGAGTATATAAGTCCACAATAATATTATTGTGAATCAGGTCCACACAAGTTTTTTCCAATTGGTGATTGAATATATAGGTAAGGTCTAGCTAGCAATGTGGAGATAATGTTCAAACCTCTAAAAAATAAAAAAAAAATAAAAAAAAGTATGTTGTTTAAATAATTCTGACAACAAGATGTTGCTGTCTAATTTCCCAAATCAACACTCTATGCATATGATGAAGTTCTATATAAAACTGAATTAATTATTATGCATCTTAAATCACAATATCACAATATAATATTTTTGTGATCGATAGCATCAAGCTATAATATGTGAAGTAGTATTTTAATCATAGAAATTATGTCAAGTTTGATAAATTAGGAATAGATGGCATAGTACTCGTATATACTTCCTTCGTCGGATTTGAAAATTCAACTTATTTTTCGTTTTGGAGTGTTTTAGAAAATTCAACTTATTTTTACTTTATTCGATTTTAAGTCCTCTTTATTTACTTTATTTCTTCATTTATGTCATACTATTAACACAATACCCCAAACTTCCTTTTACATACCATATTCTCTATTATTACTATTTTCTTTATTTGTCTGCTACTTTCACCCACTCACTCAAACTCACCTAAAAATAAGAGTTTACAATGAGTCGAACTTTTGAGAACAAAAGGATGGATTACATACTGATACAATATATGATAGAACAATGTCTACTACAAGAGGGGGGGTGAATTGTAGTCTTTAAAAATTTTGCTAAATTAAACTGACTATTAAGAGAGAAGACGCTCGAGATAGGCAATGAATTATTTCACTATGTAAAAATGAATTACAAAAGTAAATATTTTGCCTAGACCCAAGTTCCCTGATGAACTCAAGTATCCCAATTACGACCCCTCAATCGCAGTTTTCACTCTCTCTGTGATTCGACTCTGAATCACTTGTACAATGTGACGGACTCACTCAATCCTCACACTTATAACTCTCACAAACCCCAATCCCAATTACAAAGTAATTACAGGATTTTCCTAATGCATTTAAGAGACTCAAGGATGGAATGAACTCTGATTTCAAAACACTCAGAAAACTTTAACACTCAGAAAACTTAATTTGTTTTCCTACACTTCAAACAACTTTGTTGACTTCTTTTTATAGAGAGATTTGATAAGTCTCAACCATGTTTCCACTTCCCCCTTAATCCCACGTTCACCATAACTAGGGAGTTAAGATGTACGTTGAGGGAGTGGAGAATCATGGATTCACTGACTTCTCTCCCAAGCTTCAACATGTTTTCATAAAACAAGGCAACCGAATTTTACTAAGTCAAAATCAGTTAGGAAGATATTTATTAAAAGATAAATATTTATTTAAAAAGAATAATTAAAAAAGATATTAAACAGATAAAAACATTTAAATAATTATTTAATTTAACAAGTAATAAACTTATCTTTTAAATTAAAGATTATTTATCTTTTATTTATTTGCAAAATATATCTTTTCAAAACTGATTTTTTTCTATCCTTATTTCAAGGACTTTAAAACTGATTTGAAAGATTACGTTGAAATCATTTTCTGATCAAGACATTAAGTTCCTTCTGGAACATCAAGTTCCTTATGCGTTCCTTCCAACATTTTAATTTTCAAGTGCTTACAGAAATATTCTAAGTATTGGAGCTTGTAAGTTTTTCTTGAAAGCTTGCGTATCACATCAAGACTTCCAAACTCTTTTGTTCCTGCTCCGGAACATATAGCTTGTACCTGAATTTTCTGTTCAACCAAGACTTAACACTCATCATTAGTCAGAGTTTGTTTTGTTATATCAATCATCAAAATACTAAGGTAGTCAATTCAACAATATAATTTTAGAACACATGACAATGAATATGCTAAGAGCGCCTAAGATAGATATAGACCACTTTTTAACAACTCCATACTTAATTAAAGGGATTTTAGAACTGTTGTTCCTTCAAATTCTAGCTAGCTTTTCTAATTTCAGTATTACAACGTTTTTTTTTATTTTTTTTATTATCTTTTATTATTTTTTAAATTTATTTTTTTTAGAGAATATATATATATATATACATATAAAATAAAATAAAATTTGGAGGCAAATTAACTTGGAATGTAGTATTGTACTCTAGTAAAATTTAATACTCATACCTTGTGATCAAATTTTATCTACATCATCATTCTTTTTAATTAATCATCTATTCACCAAAATAATTAAAAATTTAATTCCAGAGAAATGATAAATTAATGATTAACACACCCCATTTTCTAGCACCATTTCATAAGTTGGAAAAAAAAGAAAAAAGAAAAAAAAAAAAGAACATTTGGGACAGCCCAGAAGGTTCGAAGACAAAGTCTGAGAACAATTATATAACCAGAATTATAATATTAGGAATATAAGCAATAAAGTAATGATGATGCTAATCTAGATAAGGGACCGTAATTAAAATAGTGCACTTAAGTGCATAATTCTACAATTGATGTAAGAGTATGTTTTATTAAATCAATAGTAATTCGTATTAATTAAACCATAATACTAATTCATTCTCCGTAAACGCTAATTTAGGACAATTAGTAATCATTATTGGTTGATTAATGAAGAAGATAGGATTAATTATATAAAATTAAAATTAAAAAAATGTGATTAAGTAGCTTAATGGTGTTAAGTGGTGGGCGACGACAACAACACCAACTCAAGACTATAGAGTATGTTATATAGTTGTCAATACTTTTCATGTTAACTAATGTTGGCTGGAGATGACCCATGTCCACGTCCATAAACCGTCACTTAATTTAAGGCCATTTCTTTTAGGCAGTCATTTTTCCGAGGTTTTATAAAAGTTTGAGGAAAACTTGAAATTTTATTTCTTCTTCAAACCTAGTTACTCAACTCTGTTTCATGCTTGTAGTGTAGGTAGTCAAGTATCCTTCTTACGCTATGGATAGATTGTTTGAGTCGGATCAACATAAGAAATTTCACTTGCTTGTTTATCGGATTTTGTAGTGTTAATTAATTGATGAATAGTGTAAAAAATGTCCTATATTATTAAAAGTAATATTTTTTAATCGAGAAATTGAAGTATGAATGAACTATGTAAATTAAGGCATATTAATATTTATTCAATTCTATTATCAATTTGTTAAGATACTTTTTTTATCTAAACCAAAAATATAATCGGTGGATATTTGGCTAACATAAATGAAAATTGGATAGAATATGAATCAAGACACGATAGTAAGACTAGAATAAACTAGAAAGGAAAATTCAATCTTATGTTTGGTTAGAATGAGTAGAAACAATTTATAAAAGTCTTCATTAGTACCACATATTATCAGGTCATTTAACAAAAGAAAAAAAAAATTAAGAATAAAGTAGAAAATGAGAATTTATATATGAACTTTTGTCATAAATTATACTCCATAGCATATGTAAATATGAAGTATATATATGTCCCTTTATCTTGTACTCATATATCAATAATTGAAAAATAGAAATTGTAATCCAATACCCCGAGATTGCATGAAAATGAGAGGAAAAGAATAAAAGTCCGAGATGATGATCAAATTCTGAACGTCTAAATCCTAATTAATGGCATTCGTCGGCATTAGGTTTCATTTTTCATGATTTTAGCAACGCGATTATTATGACATTTACACTAATATAGCCATACATCTTGCGCCGAAACAAAATCTTTCGAATGTTCAAAATTGGAAAAACCCGACCAATGAGCTTGACGGTCATGCCAAATTATTTGGCCGGTGCAGTGCTTAAGCTTTTGATGTATGGCCCCACTTATAACATTTAACTACCTCATTTGGGTTGGATATCACATCACCCACGAGAATTATAATCTTATGAGTAATCATTTTTTTTTTTTCCGTTTGATAAGCGGCAATTTAGTTATTTAAATTGTACTTGTATTAGGTAGTACTCATGTGACGTCCGGAATGTTAAAAATGATCGATATTATAAAAAATAGGGAGGTAATAAAAAATAAAAAATAAAAATAAAAAAAACCATAAGAAGAAACGTATAATTAAAATCATTATTGTAACAACTTTGTTGACCCCATGAGCAAACTCACATGTTAGTGAAAGTGTTGTCCCACATTAAAAGAGTGAAAAAGTGTTGGGAAGTGTATCATATTTTGAAGAAACAAGAAAGTTGTGTCTACTTTATAAGGCTAAGGGGTTACTCCCCTAATCCCCTCATTGCCGTATGATTTTGAGGTGGAATATCCTTGGACCTGTATAGTGGACACTCATGGCGGATATAGCCCAGGCCTATTTATCAAACTTTGATTGGATAAATTTAGATAGCAAACTAACCAACCAATTGGCCCCTAAAAAATAGAGAGGTAATTTAAAAAAAAAACACAAAAACAAAAAAAAAGCACAATAAGAAAATAGGCGGGATTATAACCATTTTGGAGGGGAAAAAAAAAAGTATCGCTTCAGTATAGTATATAGATAGTCATATTTAATTTGGAAGAAAAATCAATGTCCATGGTTAATTATTAATTTAATTTTAAGTTTCACAAGTCATATAAGGAAGTTCAATCTCAATGCTCAATTATTATTACCGTATGTTTATAACATTAAGGGGTCGTTTGGTTGGGGATATTCATCAAAGGGAATGAGAATCAACGAAAATCATTCTTTTTGTTGTTGTTTGCTAGACCTTTTTTCCCATTCCCTCTATCTTCTCTATTCCCCCAAATCCTTCGAAGTTCATTCCCCACCCCCCCTCAAGGTATTTCCATTCCATTCCTAGGCCACCACCATACCACCACCCTCCTACCTACACACATCACCGGAAAACCGCACCACCGCACCACCACTTACCCTTCGCCGCGCCTCCCCCACCCCTAGCCGGCCCTCCCCTCCACCACCTACCCTTCGCCGACTATCCCTCGAAGACATTCTCTAATCCCGGCCATCCCCTCGTCGCACCTCCTAATACCTAACCCTTCACCGACTCTCCGCCCCTCCCTAATCCCTTACTGCCCCTCGCCGCCCCTTGGAACCCTCTTCCCAACTGCGAAAAAGAGCGAGACTAAGAATGTACACTCACGTACCTTTGAAACCATAGCGAAGAAAGAGCGAGAGGCGAGCTGAATTCCGGCAAGGGGTTAGGGATGGGCGGCGACGGACCTTCCCTCCCTGGAACCCTCTTCCCAGCTGCGAAAAAAGAGCGGCGACGGACCTACAAAACCCTAGCAAAGAAAGAGCGAGAGGCGAGTTCTGGCGAGGGGTTAGGGATGGGCGGCGAGTTTCGGCGAAGGGTTAAGGATGGGCGGCGAGGCAGTGGGGTGGCCGGTAAAAGTGGGAAATGAAAAAAGATGGGGTTGTGTGGGTGTGGTGGTGGTTGTGATTCCATTGTATTTTTTACAACAAACAACTTACTACATCTAAAGGATTTTCATTCCATTCTCTTTCATTCCTTTTGTTCATTTCATCCCGTTTACCCCGTGCAAACCAAACGATCCCTAATTATATTGCAAGTTTTCAACCATAACTAGTTTTTTTCCCTATTTTAAATGAGAGTAACATAGACACATAGTAAGTATTTTATTTACTACATACAAAACTTAATATTGTAACTTTGAGATCCTCTACCATGCACAACATAACTATGATTGGTAATGCCAAAATTGTCTTAAATCTAGGGAATCAAAGAATACATTATCAATGTATTTCTAGTATTATACATGTTTTAACTATTCATATACTTCATAATTTTGTATTCCCCTCCCTCCTTTTCTATAGCTATTGTGATCTTACTAGTACCACTTTAAAAAAAATAATAATTGTAAATTAAATATATATATATATATATATATATATATATATATATATAATATATATATATATATAATATATATATATATATATATAAATCTTCATTTTGGGTGTCTAAAGTTGGCAAATACAATATCAATTTGTTCATCTAAATTTTTTGCATTTTAATTTAGGATTCACAATAATGACCAAAATGTTTTGGTTGTCTAATACAAATTTTCCTTCTTAGGAGTTGAGTTGTTGAGGTCTAATAATAGAAACTTCCGTAGCTCAGTGTTGTGATGTGCACCTCTGTCAGCCATTAGATCCAGTGCGATAAGCCCAAAAAATTAGGCCCAAAGCCAACTAATCTTACATTCCTACATAGTATTGAAATTTGGAAATCATGCAACTTTGCACGACATTTAATTTGTTTATCTCATCTCATTTCTCTCTCTCTCTCTCTCTCTCTTTTTTTTATTTTTTATTTTTTTTTTATGAGGAAATCTCATTTCTCCATTTGACAGTAGGATACTCTATACTGATTAAGACTTAAGAGGATATGTGATTTTATTTTATTATTTTTTTTTTTAAGGGAATGTGATTTTATCTCTATACTCGTCTAGGTGTCATAATCTTAAAATAGAAATGAACACAAAAAAATAGGAACAATCTTAACACCCGATAAAAAAAATAAAAAAATAAAAAGAAAAAGTTTTAGAGTTTAGAGGTTACACCAATGACAAACTCTATGGAGGGAAAGTTAATTCCTCCTTTTCAATACCAAAAAGACCTCCAACGAGCAAAATCATGTCGAACCTCGGAGCCAATTCACGAGGAACCGGTTTACCCTGATAGCTTGACGCCTTATGATTCCCCTATCAAAGAAGGTGACCATGTTGATGTTATATCCTTGTTATCGACGGACTATAGGGAATTTTCTAATTCGCGACAATGGTGACAAAGTCATGGTTGATAGCCTAAGGAGGAAATATGTCATGATCTTTTGCTTCTTTCTTCCTATAGAACCTCAAAGTCCGGTAGACAACCACTGTTGGGCTATAAAAGCTGCATTCTCCGAGTGGTTCGACTCTGGTAGAGACGACATTCAGATGGTTTTGGTGGCTAAGATGAAACGTGAATGGGTTGACAACGAAACTGTTTTTATAAATTTCCTCTCTTCGTTCCCTAATTGCCTTGCAATCCCTTTTTGTGACTCGAAGTCTCGTGATTATGTTTGTAAGTCTATTGGCTTAACAGGGCTTAATGTACATTATGACCCTAGTGTCATTGTTGCAGACCCTCATCAAAGGGTTTTGCAAGAAAGTTCTTATTTTCTAGAGTTGTATGGTGCTGATTCTTTTCCTTTTACGAATGAGAGGCTCGAAACCCTTTATGAAGAAGCACATAGACCTTTGTTGCCCATTGAAGAAATCTTGAGGTGCAAACCCTCTGATATTTTAGTCAGCAACTCTTGTAAAAACAGGACAATTTGTGTATCAGACCTTAAGAAAAAATTGGTTGGATTGTACTTGTGTCGAGATGGGGATTTCATGGGGGAACTCCATGAGGTGTATGAGCTATGTCATTGTAAGCAAGGTTACGAGTTAGAGATAGTATTGATACACCAACCCGACGAGGAACCACGACAGTTTATAGAGTATGTAAATGCTGATTTAGTACAGAGGGGGATAACATCTTGGTGGGTGTTACCTTTCAAGGATAGTGTAAGCCATTGGTTGAGCCGACTTAGCGAAACTCACTCCATGGATACTTTGATCATTTTAGACCCAACTAGTGGTAAATATGTGAATCCTTATGGAGAAACTGTAATAAGAAATTTCGGCTTTGATGGATATCCTTTCACTATCGCGAATATGATTGAGAAAGAGACTGCAAGGCTTAGGGAGTTAACCTTGGAGTCATTGTTAGTGTTGTCTAAGGAGCAAAACTACGTTTGTACTAATGATGGTACGCGTGTGAGTGTGGCAGAGCTTCGCGGTAGGAATGTACTGCTTTACCTTGAATGGACAGATAATTGTATGGACGATCACATGGACATATCATATAATTGGATTAAAGGTTTGTACCATGAAATTAAGGAGAAGAAGATCCTAATTTTGAAGTAGTGTTTGTTCACATGGATTTTTATGCAAATGTTTCTCCTCTTGAATGTTTTACTGCAATGCCATGGCTCGAATGTCCTCATGACCCTGCCCGCGCAGATGTCATATGGGAGCACATATGCTTGAAGGGTAGTAACAAGTTTAACGACCTTGTTGCGTTTGGAAAAGATGGTCGGATTCTCACAATACATGCTCATCAACTTCTAATGGATCGCGGTATTGATGCTTATCCTTTCCCTTATAACCTACGACAAGATGTTGAAAATGAATTCAGATGGTTCTTGGATAGTTATAGCGCGCGCGTTCTTCCTTTGTGAAGCAATATTTAAGGCTACTGCTTGTAAATGAATTGGAGTATGTTGGCCATTTAGGCCAAAGTGTAGCATATATCTGCTTTTAACCCTTGTTTATTTATCTTTAATATTTCAATTGATGATGCAAGTACAATTAGATATTTTAATATGATCTGTTATATTGTTCTTCAAGAAAGCTATTTATAAAGAAGCACTACTACAAACGTTACAGACTACATTTTGTTGAATAATAAAATTCTCCCAAGGAACATTAAACAAGATATAGAAGAGAATAGGGGATTTTCTTAATTTAAGTTCTGTATGGAAAAAATTTCAGTGCTGTGTCTAACATATTGCAAAACTTCAAAGCATTGGCTACTTGTTTGTATATATGCTTAAAAAGAGATTTACTTTTAATATTACAATTGGAATTTACGACGAACCACTTAACGTACTATACTGATTTTGGCCTTTTGGGCTAGGAAAAATGGAAATAATCCCACCTTTGGAACGTCCGCTAAAAATAATCCCACTTTTGGGTTAATTTTAAATAATCCCACCTTTACCCCCAATCTGCTCCCAATGGTCCCAAATGACCGATTACCTGTTAAAAAGGTATTTTTTTTTTGGGGTTTAAAGTACACGTGTCACCATACAATGTCTAAAGTTTTAAATTAAAAAAATGAATTTTTAAAAAATAAGGGGGAGCAGCCAGCCACCCCCTCCACCAGACCATTAGCCCCAGCCACCGCAATACTCCACCAGACCATCAGATTAGAGCTCGCGCGACGGGGGAAGAAGAGAGGTGGTCTGAGCGGCCGGAATCGAGGCAAGAGAGAGTGACGAGAGGCCGAAATCGTGGTTTCGTGACCGAGGGAGGAGGTTCAGTCGCGCCAGGTTTCATGACGGAGGGAGGAGGTTCGAGGGTGGTTCAGGAGAGGGGGTTCAGGTGTGCCTGGTTTCGTGAGGGAGGGAGGGGGTTCGGGGGTGGCAGGGGAGGTCGGCACGCCGGGATCGATGGTAGGGGAGGTGGTTTGGCTGGTGGGTGGTTTCTAAAATTAATTAATTGTTTTTTTTTATCTTTTTTTATTTTTATGTTTTGGACTAATTGGATTTCGATATGTGTTAAGTAACTTGCTATAACAAGTTAACTGACCGGTTGAGTCCATTAAAAAAGATCAGGGGGGGTAAAGGTGAGATTATTTTTAGCGGACGCCCCAAAGGTGGGATTATTTCGGGCAATTTTTCCTTTGAGCTATCCCGAAAGTTGAGAATTATTTTTATGCCGAAAGGAACCAACTTATATCACATGTTATTCACATCAATGCTAGCTCATGATTTTGATATTTTTGTTATTTTTCATGTTAAACAGATAAGTATCATCAAAGCTTATTTAGCGGTAAGATGACATTCTCAGATAATTTAGAGTTAATTTGTATGAACTTGTACCCCCAAAGTCTAACCGTTGTCCTCCATTAAAAATAAAAAGAAAGAAAGAAACAAGAGTTCCTTATGATAAAACTAGTTCAGAGAGGTATAATTCATTCAAGTTAGAAGAAGTCCAATATTAAAAATAAAAAAAAGGTCCAATAGAAGATGTTTGATTTTTTGTTTTTAGTCCGACATATGATGAATTGAGCCATTGAGATTCTTTATTATTTCCAATTTAGAAATTTATGATGCACTACTAGATGAGTAGATTCCACGGTCTTGCAATTGGGCACAAAGATAAGTTAATGTAGCGTATTATTCTTGACTTTGTGGGTTTGACTTTGCGAAAGGAATACTTACGTTGTGAGTTGAATCTTGATCTATAAAAAATGTGTTAGGTTTATAATACTAGTAACTTATAAAGATAGAAATTAGCTACTTATATTTTTTTAAAGTACAATATACCGTACTTACCTCGTGAAATTGCCATTAAATAAAAATTTTGATCTGTAAAAAATGTGTTAGGTTTATAATACTAGTACCTTATAAAGATAGAAACTAGCTACTTGTGTTTTTTTTAAAGTACAATATACTGTGCTTACCTCGTGAAATTGCCATTAAATAAAAAAAATTACAACAACGAACCATCCTATTCAAATGTTTAATATGCCAAATTTAATGACTATTCTTTGAATACGAAGTTTGAAGTTTGTAGCTAAAAGACTAATAAAATAAAGACTATATGACCAAGTTGAAAGTTTGATAGAGACTATTATTGCCTTGAGAAAATGAAAGTTTGATAGGAATTGGCTTTTAAATAATTGTTATGAATTTATGATATATATGGAGTAGAATACTTATAGCAATTTATTAGAAAGAAGAAAAAAAAATTATAAATAACAAAAAAAAAAAACCTACAATATATAATACGGTGATCATGAAAAAGGTCTAAACTAGTCCAAAATCAGGCCGAATTAGTCCAATATTGACATAAATTTTTCAATCTTCTAATCTAACTACTTTTAATTTGATTCGATATTGGACTAGTGTACAACTCTACTTACTAGTGCATTATTTTAATTTATCTAAACTTCCTTTACATGAGCAACTAAATTTTACTTATACTATTTATTCAATTTACTTGAATTTCACTTATGCTACACCTTTTTCCATTCTAAGACCCTGTTCACTTTACCTTAAAAAAATAATATTCAATAAAAATAATTTCACTTCAGTAAAAATAATTTCAGTTCAGCAAAAATAAGTTCAGTTCAGTAAAAATAATTTTAGTTCATCAGTAAAAACCAGTAACTTTAAAGAAGAAATATAACAGAAAATTAGTAAAAACAATTTCAGTTTAGCAAAAATAATTTAAAATTAATTTCAGTTCAGTAAAAATAATTTAAGTTCAACAAAAATAATTTCAGTTTAGTACAAATAACTTCAATTCAGCAAAAATAAGGTGAAGTGAACGGGGTCTAAATGTTCTTAATATTTTTTCCATTAATCCATTTCTTACCATAGCTACAAATTGAAACCTCTTTTTTTTTTTTTTTTTTTTTTTGAGATTAAACTTAAATATATCCTAATTGCTTTTCGCCAATTTTTTTTTTCTTTTTCGAAAACCTGCTTTTCGCCAATATTAGTAAAAAGGGCATATCAAATCTACTTAAATCTTAAAATAATTCCTAATTTAAGGTGACCCCCCCTCTTTTTCAAAGATATTTTAAGCCGCTATATATGAACCAATATGACTATTATTTATTAACATTATAATTAATTAATACATTAGTAAGGACGAGATTAAACACTCGATCCAAATTATAAGAATTGTCAAATCCTCAACCACTTACATTGATTTCAAAAATTTAAGTTGATAGTGATTACTTATAATCGGTTCCAACTTATAAGGAATGTGTATAAAGTAATTAGCCATACCAAATTGGTTGTACAAGTTTATTTTCCGCACTTAAATGCTAGTGCAACTCATACAAATTATTTTATGCCACCTACCGTTTATTCAATAAACTCATAGCCTATCAAAACCTTCCACGTGTCCGATTTCAACCTTTCTCTATCTCATGACCTCATAAAAAGAATAAAAAAATTAAAAATCCTTCACTATCATATGCCGCACCTTAAAAATTTTCCGTCCAAATCAAATGCAAACACCAAACACTCCCTCTGTTGCTTATTCGATTTAACAATTTCTGGCCCGGAATTTTCAACGATAACGACGTCGTTCTGATTACAACTAGTAACTACCACCTAACAAAACTAACCCTAATTCTCTCTCCTTTATCTTCTCCGGCGCCGGCGAATTTCTCCGATGAGATTTCCCGGCGAGTTCACGAACGAGTTGACTCGCCATTGACAACCACCATGCTATGTGAGATTCCGAGTTTCTGCGGCGGAGTGTTGTTGTGGTTGCGATGAGAGGTTCGCCTTTGAGTCGGCGAGCTGCTCAGCGATTCCGGCAACTTGCTTTCTTATCTGTTGGATCCGTTAAGGTTAAATTATTGCTTGGATTTTGCATCTTCTTCACTTTGATCTTGTTCTTCTTTCGAGCTTCCACTTTCATTCAATGGACTCAACATCACAGTTTTGTCGATCAATCTGATTTGCACAGGTTCGTTAATTTCGCATTTTTATTTACTTTAATTGTGTTTGTCTATTACTCGTATGATTTTGTTGTATAGTTTTGCTGTATATTTACTGATTCTTTGTGTTATGGAGTATGTTATTGGATTGGTGTTGATTTTTGCTTAATTTGGAATTTGGTTGAAGATGATAATGATTCTGAATTTAGGATTTATAGTTAAGTTTATTAGTTACTGTGCAAATTCAAAGTTAGCAACTTGCCATTAGTGCAAATTTTAGAGGAATTTAGAGGACTTTTGTAAAAAAGTGTCTGATAAGGTGTAGATACTCAGACACTCTTTTACAAAAGTCCCGTAACTAGTTCCGTAAGAGGCAACTTTCATACAAACCATTATGTTGCGTGCCGAGAGTTTCCCCAATAAATTTGGAATTTAGAAATATGTTGTGCAATTGTTACTTAAGTGGATGGAAAATCCCGAAAGAGGCAACTATACTTTGCTAGGGTCGATAGAAAGGATTGAATAATGGAAGAAGAAGGAGAAAGAACCTATAGTTGTTTCTAGTTGAGACTTTATAAGGTCCTAAATATCAATTTTTGTTACATTTCAAAAACTAAGGAATTGCAGGTGTTCATACTTCATAGAGAATAAGGGTATCCATTGAACTTTGCCATTAGAGAAGTCACCTAATTTGCTAACCATCAATCAAAGCCTTAATCCCATAAGTGGATCAAATTTGATTATTCCGTATAATCATTGACAAAAATCTTCCTCCTGTTACGATCCAATACCCCATCCTCATGCAAATCCATATACTTCACATCCTTCCTAACTTCTTCCAATCAAGTCATTTTCGGTCTCCATCTCCCTCGTTTAACCCCTCCATGGTCCTTCTCTTCCGCTCTTCGAATTGGTGCACCCTCGGGTCTCCGTCTTACATGCCCAAACCAACACAGACTATTTTCCCTTAGCTTGTCTACAATGTCTGTCACACCTACTTTATGGCGAATAACCTCATTTCTGATTCTATCTCTTAGAGTGTTCCCGCACATCCAGCTTAACATGTGCATTTCCGTAACCTCCATCTTTTTAATGTGCTCCTTCTTAGAAACCAAACCATAGAGCAACAGTGGTCTTATGACAGTCTTGTAGAAATTTTCCCTTCAACTCTAAGGGGATGCTTTGGTCACATAACACTCTCGTGGCCGCTCTCCATTTAAGCCACCCGACTTAATCTTGTGGGTCACGTCTTGATCAATGTCATCATTTTTCTGGATGATCGACCCAAGATACTTAAAACATTCACTCATGGTCAAATCTTTTCCATCCAAACTCACCACTTCATAGCTTGTCCCCCTTTGAGTACCAAAGCGACATACCAAATATTCATTCTTACTCCGACTTAGCTTAAACCCTCTAGATTCCAACCTTTGCCTCCATTGTTCCAACTTAGCGTTAACCCCATTTTTAGTTTCATCAACCAAAACGATATCATCCTCAAACGATACGCCATGAAACTTCAACTTGAATTGGTTTAGTTACTTCATCTAGAACCGTTGCAAAAAGAAAAGGGCTTAATGCAGACCCTTGATGCAATTCAATTGTAGTAGGGAAATCTTTTGTCAACCCTCCACATGTCCTCACATTTGTTGACACATCCGAGAAATATCCTTAACCAGATCCACGTACCTTCGTGGGATACCTTTCTTCAACATTGCCCACCAAAGTACATCTCTTGGCACTTTGTCATACGCCTTCTCTAAATCAATAAAGACCATATGAAGATTCTTCTTCTTTACCTTATAAAACTTCATCATTTGTCTTATTAAATGGATTGCTTCTATAGTAGATCTCTCTGGCATAAAATCTTTTATATATATATATATATAAGGTTTTCTGGTACAACAAATCTAATCTATATGGTCTGTGTTTATGTCTACTAAGGACATGTCTGCATTCTCTTTAATGATCAAGGGGCAAGATTTAATGGGGTAAATTTCACTTCCTTTCTCAAGTTTGGCATTATTTCCAGGGGATTTCAGGAGTAATGAACAAAGTTGGTTGTAGGAGAGAGAGAGAGAGAGAGAGAGAGAGAGAGAGAGAGAGAGAGAGAGAGAGAGGGGTGAAGGTGGTGGTGTGGTGACGGTGTAGGGAGAGTTAGGCTACGAGGACTCGTGGAGTGAGATAGACTGATTGAGGTAGAAACTTGTGGAAAGAGAACTGATACAAAGATGAGAGAGGGTAATTGTTTGAAGGGGAAAATCACTAGGGGAGAGCGGGGTAACTGTTACTCCTTTCTTTAGGGGAATATAATCACCCCCTTACAATTATAATCTCAATCCTGGCTATACAAACATCAGAATATATTTCCTCCTTTAACTTTTCCTCTTTCCTATTGTAGGCAATCTAGGCATGCCCTCAAAGTCTTGAAGTAGCAGCAGGAACCAAATCTTCGTAGTCACTGTTAGCAATTATTCTCAATAACACTGCTTACAACTAATTTATAAGTACCTGAGCAAAACTTGCAAAATGATGAACATGTAATATGTCTGCAGCATAAGTTTTTTTTTTTTTTTTTTTTTTTTTTTGCTTACGTCAGCAATTAGAACAAGACTTGAAATTGGTCAAGACACTAGAGTAAATCATATCACATTGACTACGAAGTATAAAATAGGTTGGTTAGTTGAGAATCATGTAATTTGATGCTTCAAAAGACCTAATCCACTAATTCATTATCATTTTACTAGAGCATACCCTTGGTAAAGCACAGGGTAGTTATTATTAATTTTTTCAAATATGATTAGAAGAAATTATTGTGCATTTAGGGGAAGTTATTGTATTGATATTGGAAATTATGTTTAGTGAAAGTATTTTTAATAAAAATAGGGAAGTTAATAGGATTTGACATTTGAGGATTTAGGGTTTGGAGGCTTGTCATCAAAAGTTGTAAAACTGACTCTGCAATTATTATATAGAAATTAGAAGCGTAGTCCCATAACTGCAAACATGGCTTCAATCTCATCATCTGTTTCTGAGCTTGGCTTGATGGGCCTAGAGATTCTGGCAAAAATTTGAGCAATCTCTTGAGGCGTACACTTCCTCCTGTTTTGTCCATTAAGGCATGAACATTAGCTGCAGGCCTGCAGCAGTGTTGCTGCTTATAGTAGGAACCGAACATAACATATACCCTCTATGCTCTTCCTTGGAAGAAAGCTGTAGTTTATACACGGCCTTGGTAATTAGCTGGACTTACTAGGTTTATCTGACACAGTTTTTTGATTTTTCAAATAATAATCTTTTTATTCAATTATGGACCATTAAAAATATCAGTACTTGTCATGAACTGTTACATGAACCAATGAATTCTTGCATTATCTATGTATAGAGCTTCAAACTAGTAAATACTAATACTTGGTGAAAGTGGGAACACTCTTTCTATGAAAATTCTGCCTCCAATCCACATGAACCTAAGTGGTTGGGTTCTGCACTTTTCCATGAGCTTAATACAAAGGCCCAAATTTGATGTTCTCATAACTGGCTTTGTTTGTTTTGTTGATAGAACAAATTATAATGTGCAAGTACTGGCGTAGATTTAAGGGTAGGGGCATAATATAATCCTTCTCGCTAAGTAGGTCTCCAAATGGGCATTTTCTGTAGAAAACAAGAGGATCAAAGTTATCAAACCTTATAATCACAATTTCTGTGTTTGCTTTTTTATTGATCCAGAATTTAAAGTGGAAGTTGACTAATACAGAATTCTGTCCCTCTGGGGTGTATTAAGAGTTCTGTGAAAGTCAAGATATGATTAAAATGTGAGGATGTTTGTGCATGTAAATGGCTTCACAAAGGCTGTTTGTTCTACAGAATGCTGAAATTTTCTTGAAATGACTTTTACCTACTTTAAGCTTTATGTATCACACATCAATCTGATCGATGGCTGAACCTACATTTTTGCTAGTTTCTTTTCCTAGATTAAAACAAAAACTAGATGGGTTGTGCCAGGTTTATGCACAGAAAGTCTTAAAATTGCAAGGACAAGTAGTTTTCCCTTTTGGAGATATGCGAGACACGGAACCTCATAGCAAGATAAGAGCACTTTGGATCCACCCTCAGTTTGGGTTATATGAAAGCATTTCATGATTATGCTTGATGATAAATTTGAATTTATGATTATTATTTACTTTTTAAAAAAATTAAAGTGAAGGAGTTTATGTATGACTTATATTGGCATTTATTTGACCATCATGGTAGCTGTTAATAGTCATAAGTCATAACTGCCATGGACATGGTAGCTGTTGATCATCATAACTCATAAATATCATGAACATATGGGAGTTGATACTATGCTATGGTCATATGGGAGTTGATACTGAAATTTTGAGCTGATGGATTGAGGGTGTCATATGGAAAGTTGGAGGGTGATAAATAGTCCAAGTTATTCTTCTATAATTTGGCTTAACTTTATCTTCAATTATTTGAGACATTTGGAAGTGCTGGTTTTGTTTGTTTAGAGTATGTTGTGGGTCTAACTTTGTACTCCCTCCATTTTATTTTTTGGTGCCACTGACATTTTGCACAGTCACATACTCAACTTTGACCATTGTTGGCGATTTATACATAAGAAAAAAAGTCATGTGGGATTTTGGTAGGTTCATCTCAATGTAGAGTTTTCGAACATCAACTTTTTTATAATTTATACCTAATGATAAAGATATTTTTTGTCAAGCATCTGCATTGGCATACGTGCCTAGTCAAACTTTGGCACTCATAAAGAAAAGGGAGCGAATTGCCAACTTCATTGCATTCTGTGACAAATCGAGAAAGAAATGAAGCCATTAGATTGTTATTTATATAAGTTTATATTTCTATAGTAGCATTTTGTACTATATTATTGTTGAGTAAATCTTTTGATTCATTTAGTTTGGTGCTGCTGGGTAGCCCCCTGTATCTGACTGGTGTCTGTTATTGCAGGAAGGGTTATACACTTTTAATTAATACCTGGAAGAGAAATGATCTATTAAAGAAATCCATCTCCCATTATGCAGCATGTCTACGATTGGACTCCATACACATTGTATGGAGTGAGCCTGATCCTCCATCAGAGTCTCTCAATCGCTATCTAAAGCGTATCGTGCAGAAATACTCAAAAAATGGACGAAAAATTGAACTGAAGTTCGACATCAATAAAGAAGACAGCTTGAACAATAGATTTAAAGAAATCAAGAATTTGAAGACAGATGTAGTCTTCTCAATTGACGATGATGTCATATTCCCTTGCTCTTCTGTTGAACTTGCCTATAGTGTATGGCAGAGTGCTCCTGATACAATGGTTGGATTTGTGCCACGTATGCATTGGCTGGATCACTCCGTATGCATCTCTCTTTTCTCTTTCCTTCTTTCCCCCCAATAAAATAGAACTTAGCTGCCTTACGTCTGTGCAATGCCTGATGTGCTTTGTTACCTTCTGTGTCTGCAAGGTCTGAAGTAAAACTTTTGAGTTTACCTCATCTGACTTTTCTGGATGAAAAGTGTTATTTCTGTGTATGTGATTTTGATTGTTTTCTTCTATTTTCAAACTAATTTGTCTAAAGTATATGTGCTGCTTGGATTTTCTAGTCTGTGATCCCAGCCTTCTTGGTCCTTCCCATTCTACTTCCTCAATAAGTGGGCAAAGAAACAAGAGATCCAGATGAATCATTGTGCACCTTCTAGTCGTAGGTTACATACTTATATGTAATGCCACCAATACATGTATAATCTTTATCTTGGGGCTGTATAACTTGGTGAAAATATAATGAGATCCCCTCTTGATTATGTTGATTTAATCTGCTGGCTTTAGTCTCTTCTAGTTCTCAACCACATAGTTGTCTTTTTTAACTCCCTTTTTTCTCAAGTTGTCTATGTAGCAATCGATTTTTCCACAAACATGACGAATGACTGAGTTACCAAGGCTCTTAGGAGCTCTATTAACTCTTAAGTTGAACTCCTTTTCTTGTTTTTTTACGTATAGCTCTGTTACTTGTGTTAGTTGTGTATGATAATATGGCTATCTTTAAAACTCAATTACTTTGCATCTGCTTACTTGAAAATTCTTCTGCAGAGAGGCAATAGGGATTACTTTGAGTATGGAGGTTGGTGGTCTGTTTGGTGGATGGGCACTTATAGTATGGTTCTATCCAAGGCCGCTTTTTTCCACAAAAAGTATCTGGCAATGTACACAAATGAGTTTCCAGCATCTCTAAGAGAATATGTAGCTCATAACAGGTATATATTGGAGCCTTATGACAGTAGTTGGCCTGGGCCAAGATTTATTATGCCTGTGGTACTGCCCGGTTTATTTGTCACTTGTTGACATTGTCATGACTTGCTGTAAATAATTATGCAGGAATTGTGAAGATATTGCAATGTCATTTCTTGTTGCAAATGCAACTGGTGCTCCTCCTATTTGGGTGAAAGGTGATTAATTTATCTTATACTTCCTTCGTACTTTATGTGTTGCTTTAATTGCCTTTATGAAAGTTCCACATTAACTGCAGTAATTCTCTTTTGGGGAACATTTCACACCCAAAGAAAGATTTGCCATAGTCTATTTGCTTTTCACACTTCTGTTTTCTCTTTTCATATAATCATATGGGCAAAGTTGCACCACCCCTACCCACTTTCATCTTAATTAACCTTTTATGTTGAGACCATCTTTAAGATGATTGCTACCTGAATTTGGAACCTTAATTCCCTTTCTTGATTTTTTAAATTAATAATCTTCTTTTTTATACGCTAGCATCTTTACTCTCTCTTTACTGTATTATACTACTGCATCAATTACTTAGTTTACGAAGTAATTTATGTCAATTGTCTATGTGCATAAAACGGAGTTTGTGGTTATAAGCCTATTGTGTAATAGTATTTCGTGTTGTCATTGTGCAACATGCCACTGTATAAGGCTAAGTTTTTTGCTGGCTGCTACCATATTAGTTATTACACCTTTAGATGCTCTTGCATTCCAACCTATTTGTTAAGTTTTAGAAGATTTTTTTTTTTTTTTTTTTTTTAATTATTTTAATCCTACTCCAACTATTAAATTCACTTATTCTAGGAAAATGCAAGAGTAGTTAAGTCATATCTCAGTAGTTTGTCACAAGTGTTAAACAGGAAGGTTAGTGTGGGTAATTACTGGTGAAGTGGTGAGTTAGTTGCAGAAAAGGTGGAGAGGATTAAAACTTTTTTTAATTAAGGGGAAGGGGATTTGAGAGTGACACTGTGAATTGTGAAATCTAGAGAGGGTAAGTTACAGTAGGATTGCACAAACCTCTTGATTGTTGGCTAAGTTGTAGTTGGTGAATCTTCGCTGTAGAATTATCGAAACAACTTTATCTTGTTTGATCTTTCAATTGAATTATTCTTGATTGCTTAAAAAGAGACAGAAACTTAAGAAAACATTTCGATTCTTAGCATTCTACTAGAATATGTTATGTTGTGCAGGGCTTTTGTAAGATATTTAAGGTGAAAAAAATAATTAAAACTAATTAAAAAAAATATATATTTAAAAATATTTTTAAAAAATAATAGTAAAAAAAATAAAATAGTGGTTCTGGGTTGGGTAATGTGGGTGGTTCTGGGTTGGGTATTGTGGGAGACTGAGTGGGGGATTTCGTGGCTGGTTTTGGGTTGGGTTTCGTGGCTGGTTTGAGTTTTCGGCGATGGTGACCTTCGATTTGGGTTCAGCGATGGTGGATTTGGGTTTAGGAATTGTCGGCGATGGTGAGCTTCGATTTAGGGGTTGTCGGCGATGGTGGGTTTGGGTATGTGAGGGTGTCGGGCTGGGTTTAAGGGATGTCAGTGATGGGTGGTGTGGCTTGTCTGGGATTAGGAAGGAGTCGGTGGTGGTGATTACTAGTCTGGGTTTAGGAGGGAGTCGGTGGTGGTGGTGGGCTGGTGAGTTGGGTGGTTATTTAATCATTTTTTAAATTTTTGTTTAATTTTTTTTTAAAAAAACGGACCAATTAGAAGGTGACACGTGGCAAGTGGTGGGGTCAACTAACGGCCGTCAGTCATTAATGGCACTCGGTGAATTTTTTTAAAACTCGGTGGCATTTGGTGAATTTTGAAAAGGTTGATGACATTTGGTGAATTTTGCAATTGCTTAGTGGCATTTGGTGAAATAGCCGTAAAATATAATTATCAATTAACTCCACCTCCTTCAATTTTTGCTAGACCACAAGCCCCATCCCATTCACTCCCAATCAGACCATCACCAACCCCACCACCCTCCCCGACTATAAACCATCTAGCCACACCCACCCCTGTCGACTATGAGAACACCACCTGGACGAAACATGGTCGTGATCCTTCCCGCTCCGTTGTTCGTCCTGACAGGAGGAAGTGAAAAAACAGAACGACCCACCCTTATTTGCTCCGGTAACAACGTTTTTTTTTCTTATATCTACATCTTACTCTTACTCTTTTTATTTTCTTCAACTCTAAAATCTACTTTAACAACTTTTGAAAAGAGGAAAAGGGAAATCTGTGCTGGTAAGGGGAAGGGAGTAATAGGCGCAGGAAAAAAGGAAAGTGCAGGAGAAGATGAAGAGAAGGGGAGGATTTGCCAGATTAGGATAATGAGATTTGACGGATTGGAATATTGTCTGGAGTTGTTGGAAAAGCTGATGGTGGGCTGATGCTGGCTTGAAGGGGTTAGCGTGGTGTTGGCACTCGGCAGATTGGTAATCAGGCTCTTACTTCTTAGGGAGGGATACTTAGGGGTGAGTGGATAATTAGTGGTGGATATGACCTTCTAACTTCTCTTACCTTAATAAATGTGCCAATTCCGGGTTTAAACTTGTGAACTTGCAAACTGGTAGCATGGATGATAACATTTATTGCTCCAGTAATGCTTGTCAAATGAGAGTGTTTTCTAGTAACATTTGTACTGTAGCAATTTTAACTGATTATTCAGTAGTGGCTTCTGCCTGGTCCACTGGAATTTTTCTGTGTCTGGTTTTATTAGTTTCATGTGCTTATGAATCCAGTTTACTCATGTTGCTTTGTTGCTTCCTCAACCTGTTTTCTTTGCATCTCAGAATATTAATCATGTTTATGCTATTCCAGGCAAGATTTTTGAGATTGGATCTACTGGAATTAGTAGCTTGGGAGGTCACAGCGAAAAACGAACTGAATGCATTAACAGGTTCGTTGCTGAGTTTGGGAAAATGCCTTTGGTTTCAACTTCCATGAAAGTTGTTGATAGCCGAAATACCTGGTTTTGGTGATGTGTAGCTTCATTTTATACCTATTCATTTTGTTCTGCACAGTTCTGTCAATTACCATTTTTCGTAGGTTGGCTCTTTTTACCATGTATGATATCTGGATACTTGATCCCACAAAAAAAAAGGTTTGGGCTTCATAAAATTAAGTATAGATCAATTGGCCTTTTTTCCTACATGTAAAATTCCACCCCCGATCATTTTAAGATGACTGCCTTTGTGGCGGGTATTCGGGTAAGGTTGTAGATGCCAATTTTGGCAACTGAGTGGGCAATATCCTGTTCTGAATATATCCCAAGAACTTGTATGAAATGAAACTCTCAATCAATAGAAGATTTAAGACTTTTCTGTCTGGAAAATCTCTCGCGTCAACTAATATGCTGATGCACTATGTGTGGGGACATTTTGCAATATTAATATCTTCATCAAGGATACTTGAAATATATTTTTTCTTTAGATTAGGTCTGTGTGATACTCAAAGCTGAGCTTTCTTTTTCATACTTTACTAGATTTGTCCTTGAATCTGCTGTCTTAGCCATTTCCTTATCCTGTTAACAGGGTTGTTATGTATGCTAAAAGAAGGGGTCCTTGTAAATTGAACAATTTTATTACGTAATACAGGCTAGCAATTTAGTTTAGATAAGATGGCTAGCGAATTATCTTAAGGGTCAGATATTAAAGAGGCCCCTATAATCAGTAAGGACAAACAAAAGTGCACCGTCGTCGTATTAGCAATAAATGTTGTTTCATGAATCCTTTTATGCATATGCCTTAAAATCTAGGAGATAATTATATAGATATTCTTGAAGATAGTATGTGCATGACCAACGAAAAATCGGTAGGTAGATCATGTAACCTTGCCAAATCTTAGCTGAAGAGCTTATTGCCACTTGGCCAAGTTAAGATAGAACTGTCTTGAAAGTCCATTTGTACAGACTCTTATTGAGTCTACTTGCTAGTTGCTACTATATGAACGTTACTGGAGGAAGAGGTGGTCCTGTAACCTGACCCAATTATTGAACGGATTATGTGAGATTGATGGAACACGCTAGGATTGGCAGCTAGTACTCTCTTCTTGCCTCGATTGCCTTTCATAAGGAACATGAGACTTGGAGATCGGATAGGTAGTGCACGGAGATTTTTTTTTTTTTTTTTTTTTGCACATGAAAATGAGTGGGTAATGGGTTGATTGTTGCAGTAGGCGTGATGGGTGGAGTTAAAGGAGCTGTTAGTATTTGGATTTGATTGCATCTTGTTGATTTAACTAGTCATTATTGATAGAGAAAACTCGCAATGATGCTTCATGAGAATGGACTGAAGCTGTGAAGCATCTTGATTGTACACTCAAATGAATCCCGTGTTGCATGTTATGGTCATCTGACCTGACTAAGAGCTAGACTTAGACTGGTAGAAACTGTGCCTTCATTTCCAACTGAAGTTTGTTAAGATGTGATTGAGACTTGAAGTTCTACCTTCGGTTCAGTCAACAAGATCTTTTTCGAGATCATTGTTGAACTACTTAACACTGATAACATCCAAAATTTCAGCACTTAACCTGTTTATTTGGTTCAGTTCAAAATTTAAACATTTTTGTATGTTTTAATAGGTGTCTAAATTCAGTTTAAATCACAATCTTCAACGACTTTACTGGTCAAACTACGGCTTGCATCTAAAGTAAACTAATGAAAGTCTTGATAAAAAACACTCAAAGGGATCCCTGATATCCTGCTTCTGTATAGGACAGGCTGGTTCAGATTTTCTTCCCAACCCCAAAGAAAATGAACTCCAGATTTTGCTTCTCAAAGTGGGAACTAATTCTGTTATTCATTGTACACAATAAATTACACTAGAAAAAAAGTGTTAGGTTGGCTTTTGGTAGATCGACTGATCAACATATCACTATACCAGGGACTGTGGTAAGCAACGTCCTCGAAGAAGGAAAAATTAGTTCCTAGTTTTCAGCAACTCAGTTTTTGATTTGTTTGTAAATCATCCCATGTAATCCTAAGTCGATCCAACGATAAACAACAGAATAGCAGAAGTGTACGAAGCTATAGATTCAAGCTTCAATAGTTTATTATCATTACTGAAGCTTTACACTGTACAATTACAATATTACTTGCACAACAGAGGTACCAAAAGCCAAGATCAATAAGTCACAATGCCCAGGAGTTATACAAAAAAGATATCCAGTGGCTCTAGACTGGAATCCTCACTAATAGGCAAAGCAATGGTACTACTGTACTACAAATATGCCATTATTATGTTACCCTGATAATTAATCTATCTTATTATAGTAAATTTAAACCGAGAACAATTTTTACTACGAAGTATTATTATTCACAGAGCAGAGCCTTTCCCGTTAGCTTTTGGCACAGGGAGGATCTAAAGGGTAACATGTATCTTCACCCCCGGTGCTCCATAAGAAATTTGCATACTTTGATGCATGAAAGGAGTTGTCGGGTTCAACAGCCATAGCCTGTTGGAATCTTTCTTCAGCTTCCCATAGATCCTGTTTGACCACCCATAAGAAATTTGCATACTGTGTTATTACCTCTGCATCAGTTGGATCCAATTGTATTGCACGCTTGTAGCACTCCTCAGCCCTGAAGTATCAAGACACAAGTATATAAATACAAGAACAAAGATTTTATGACTTCACTAATCTCCTCCAGTTCGTCGCTTCAATTAAACAATCACATGCTTCATTACTGAGTTAGTAGTAGTATTAATAGGTAAAACAAGAAATAATACAGCATGATAGTTTCGAGCTGACATGAACTCTGCTATGAGACAGATATAATTACAAGATACAGGTTACCAGTCAAGGACCACTTGCATGCTGTCTTGCCAGTTAGATATCTATCGACTTATCGAGTAATAAGGATAAGGCTACGATCTACCAGGTCTATCATACACCCGGGTATACCTAGTACCAACTTATAATAAATCAGGAGCAAATTATCTAACTTTTATCAAAAACAAACAACTTCCATTTTCGTAATAGCAAAAACAGGTGGATTAAGAAACTAATCTATTTCAAGTATTTCCCATAGTAAGATTAATTTTAAAAAATATCTCAAACTATATCAAACAATAATTAAGATGAAAAATTATACCTGTCATAATCCCGGGAAACAAGGCAGAGAAACTGAGCATAATTAGATAGCAAGAGAGTGTTGTTAGGATCCTGAAACAACCCCATTTGGTAATGAAGATCAGTCCTATAATACTCCTCATAATCATCCGCTTCAATCTCAACTCCTATCGGCGAAATGAATTCGACCTTGTTATCATCATAAACATCATTTTCTTTGACATCATCTTCTTTAACATCATCTTTAAGATAATCTTGATCAATTACAAATCCTAACACTTCATTCTTCACATAACCTCCAATCTCATTAGCTTCTTCCACTATATTATTCCACAAACTATTTTCTTTCTCCTCCAATTTTTCCAATTCCACTACCCCTGATTTTGCAAATTCCAATTGCCCAAGTGCCCAATTCCTATCATTCTGCTTTAAAATCATCTGGGTATTTTCAAAAGGGAGCAATGTTTCAATTGAAAATGTGGCGAAATTCGAGGTAAGAAGCATAATCTGCAGCATTAAATCAGGGGTTTTAGCAAAAACTTCCCTAAATAACCAAATAAGTGAAGATGTCATCTCCCTTTGAATTTTGCTAACAACCCCATCATCTAATTCTTCATCTAAAACCAATCCCCTGCTTTTCAAAGCCTGGTTTTGAACCTCTTTGATTATATACAAAGTCGAACAACACAAATTATTAATGGGGTTATCCTTCATATGTTCTTCGAGATCCCCAATTTCTCTCTCCTCCTCTAATCGCTGAAGTTTCTGCTTCATTTTCAGAATTCTTAGAGAAAGAGGGAGCTCAATGCTGCTAGCTCTTCGAGCAATGCAATCCCGAATCACGGCATCTCTCGCGGGCCAAATTGGCGGGTCGGGTCGAATACCCAAAATAGAAGGTTCTAGAACATCCACCTGAGGAGAATCCGAGTGTCGAAACGACGACGACGTAGTGGTTGATGAAGAGCGTTGAAAGGTGGGGAAATTGAGCTTTTTGTTGTGGGTGTTATTTTCGTGATTATAATGATGAGGAAAATCATGACCGTCGAAGCTAGCGCTGACGGATCTACGAAGAAGACTAAGGTCCGTAGATTTGGAGCGAGAAAGGGTTGCGCTGGTTAGCACGGTGGCGGAAGGAGAACGATGGAGGCGGAGTTTGGTAGTGGGGAACAAGGAAGATTGCGATGCATTGTGAGGTGGAGATGGAGGAGAAAGAGGAGGGGTTGATTGAGCAATGTTCACCCTCATTTTTTTAGAAGAGAGAATATGAAAATGAGAAAGATTTGGATTGAGATCTGAGAAGAGAGATTCAAAGGATTATTATTTTTAATGAGAAAGTGTGAGAAAAAAGAAGGGGATTATATGTAGGTGTTGCAAAGATGGAAAAAAATAGAAAGGATGAATTGACCAAAGAGAAGATATTCAAAGGTTGTGAGTTGTGATCTCTCTTTGATAAGGCGTGTATATTACTATATTGGTTGGAATTGGGGAACTATTGTAAAATCCTTTTTTTTAGGGTCCAAGTGTGGCAATACAATACAAATACAGCTTGTACTTGTAATTTAGTAAATTATGGATTTTCTCAAGTTACTCTTACTTTTTTTAGCATGCATATTAAACATAGAATCATAATTTAATCCCAACAATTGTATGAATTATATTATTGCAATGGCAATTATAGATTTTAAATCAATTCCTTAAAAATAACAAGTAATATTGTTAAGTTTGTTCTGAGTAAATGAAAAAGTAAACTTCTCATGAGACCAACTTAATCAAATATTCTATAGTAAATTTTTCATATAATTTTATGTCAACTAAATAAACACTTTAATAGTAATCGTATCATCACGAGAAGAGACAAGCAAGATACAGATAGTATGGGCAAGGAATGTAGGTACTTCTGACATGTCTTAAAATGGAAGAGACTCTCGATGAATAAGGATCTAGAGAATTCATTATTTCATTAATTTACTCACTTAACGATATAATAGGACTAATGTTGGAAATTTCAATACACAATTTAGAACGTAATTTGTTGACTCAGCAATAAAAAGGAGAAGTGGTGGCGATACACACAACTCGCTGCTCGTGCCCGGCTGCCCGGTTGCCCTGCTTTTAGCTCGTGATTAGTTTCCGTACTATACTTTTTTTCCTGCATACAAAAAATATCTATGCTACGTGGACACTGTTTTTGTGATTTCACCTGATTTTTTGCTCACTTTCACACAAGAGATTGTAAACGTGCTTTTTCATTATTTAGAAAAA